CACACACACACACACACACACACACACACACACACACACACACACACTTTAAATAGCTTGCAATCTGAGGTCCTTTTTTTTTTCAGTAAAGCATTTCATGTTATTGCAGTTAATGACATACAGTTACCACAAGTTAACCCTTACCCTTTCATTAACAGTTTAAAAAACCGAGCAGTTTAATGTATTAAAATAAACAACAGACAGAGCCAGTATTCTCAGGAGTGTGATTCCGATAAAAGGAGAAAACATTGGTCTTATCTACGTCTGTCTGGGTTTTGATTTCAGCACGGGAATGACTCTTGGCAATGGCGGTAATGTCTGCCCTCTACGTGAAGTCATCAATGCTAATCAGCCAAATAAATGTGATTAAAAACTGCTGCATGGATGTGTTGCATTTAGAAATGTTCACACAATTCACAGTTGCTCATCTACTACAGTGGCTAAGTGATGTTTACAAAGGCTAAAATGGTATTTATTGACACATAACTCTTAGAATGTCTATCTTTTAATCTTTAAATAATATATCTTTAAACCCAATCACCACATGAGCATGCAGTAACACACCACACTGCTTCACCCCATCAATTACTCATCTCCAAAGTACAGCAACGAACTCCGACCAACTAGCACACCTACAGTATCAACATGTTGTCTACTCGCGCACCATCAAAGTATATCATTGAGTAACATTCATCTGTAACACACACTGACATCTACATCACTCTGATGCACAAGCAGAGAATGATGGCGGTTCTGCCCAATTACATCACAACCCTCCAAATTCAGGCATTTCATTGGCTGGCGAGCGCTAAGCCAATCAGTAGCACATTCACAAATCAGTAACAAGGCATCTCCTTTAACGACTTGTTCTTGACCCAAGTTCCTCAATTGTGCAGAAAGCAAACCAACTGTGGTCATTCCAAGAAAAATTTAATTAAAAAAGGTATCCAGGAGAAGCTGGGGTGTTATTTTGGCTTCTCTTCCGATAGAATGATGTCGCCACTTTGTTTTTTAGTGGCTCAGTTTGCCCGTCTGTCTGCCTGGACACGACTTACAAAAAACAAAAAGCTCATCTGCAATCAGCACCCATGATCGTCCACATACAAACTAATGATAAATAGAAATATTTCACACAGTAGAAAAGTCAAACTTGTGTTATTGCTTCTCGCGGATTGACTGAGCTAAGAGTCAGACCTGGGTCAAATATTCAAATGCTTTTCACGGTGTGATAAAGCCCTCATGAGACGGACCGGTGGGGGTTTGCCACAAAAGACGACGAAATGAATAACTGAAAGCTCACGCGGCCACGGCGGGAAAATATCTGTTATTTTCCCGCCAAATGGCAACTTCGCTGACATTGTCGAGATTCAATAAGCTCCACCCACTCCGTACCTCCATGACGATTGAAAAACATCGCAGGTGATCTTTGACCCAGGTCCTGTTCAGAATTCACTCCACCCACCCACACTTGACCTATAAACAAGTCACCAGATGGAAGAAACCCCTCTGGTAATATGACAAACACTCAATTCACTTTTTGCATGTCATCAAACGTCCATGTGTGTGTGTCTATGTAACACCAGTTTATCAGAGAGCGCACAAGAATGAGGTATGCGTCGCCTCAGCACTGTATATGTGGGTGTAGATGTGAATGCATATATTATTATGTAACAGCGCCTCCAGTGTTTTCATCCGATCCCATAGCTCCAAAGGACAATATTGCTTATTTCAGCTTCTCGTGCCACAAAGGCACCACAATTCATCTCCCGACCTTTAACCTTTCCACACAACAAACATTTTTCTGATGTTCTGATTGAAACTGCAGCCCAGCTGAGATACCAGGCACGAAAAAAAAATCACCTTTGTGCAAAAAAAAAGAAAAAAAAGAAGAAAAAAAAAGAAATCAGCCCTTTAAAAATTGTACAGAGTACATTTCTTTTTGCCTCAGATTTCTTCTCTTTTTTTATTCGTTGTCTTCCGTTTGTGCAAGCATGCTTCAGTTCAATAGAGACTTGCTGTGCAAAAGGAACAGAGTCCAAAGACGACGAGGAAGGGCAGGAGGGGAGTGTTGATGGTAAGGGCAGTGGGGGATGGGGGAGAAGAGCAGTCCTCAGCCTTCAGTCTCTACCTGGAGATCATCGAGCTGGACTGAGATTGGCTGGAGGAGGTGGTTGCGGCACTGAGCTGAGAGAAGCCGCTGTGGCTCGACTCCAGGCTGGTCATCGAACCCCTGAGGTGAGAGACAGAGAACATGTGAGCAGTCACCATCTTCACATGAATACAACCGGTGTATGCCACTGACTAACTGCTTGCATTCTGTGTGCACAGCTTGTGCTCATGCGGCAGAGCCATGCAGCCAGATTAAACCCACAGGAGGGAGATTAATCCACTCCGCTGAGGCTCTGCAACAAGCAACAGTGTCTCAGTAGAAAGGTTGTGTGTGAGAGGATCTTAAAATGCCAAATTCTTCGATTGTTCCAGTAAAGTATTTTGGTATGGGGTAAGTTCAGGGTGTTTCTGTTGAGGGCCGAAGCAGATCCGCTCCGTCTTGCATGCAAAACCATAACACCAAAGGGTGTTGCTACTTTCCTTTAGAACATGCAGCATTTTGTTCATTCTTACATGAATAATTAAAAAGGGGAGTCTTTATAAATGTAGTATGTAAGCTTCTTGGTGTTTGGATCAAAGAGTCAATATACCAACAGCATGTTCATTTCTATATAGCCCATGTCTATGATGTATCATACACACCTACAGAATGCATACAGATGTTTTGCATCAAGCATTTAAAAGGACATACAATTATAATCATTTAACTTTAAATGGTCAAGTATCACAATCTCTCACGGTAACTTTCCTCATTTTGCTTTGCATTTTGTACAGAGCTACAGTGGCCGACGCGAAAAGTCAAAACACAAATGGCCTTATCCAAAGCCGGTGTTTGGTTTGTCTGTTCTGGGCTACTGTAGAAACATGACGAGGACCCGCTCCCTTTGTAGAAATAAACAACATTCCAATTCTTCTGCTGCTATCTATTATCTTATTTTACAATCATATACATTTCTTTCAGTAGGAATTAAGCTGAAACTTATGTCGAGTTAAGCATTGCACTTAACTTGTGTAAAGCTTTGTTGTTATTAGTCGTTCAATTGCTCTTAATTCTGACTTTTCTCACATTCTTAGTAAATACAAGATACTTGTACCACTTAAGGTTTTCTTTTTTTATAATACTGTGAAATTGTCAACACTACTAAGCAAGAAATTTAAAAAGCACTAAAATGAGTTAGATGGTGATCTCAAGTTTGATTCAAAAGCAAAAGTAAAGATGAAACAGCAAAGTGAGATTCAGTAAAAATGGATGAGTGATGAAAACAAGTACAAATGCCAGGAAATGTCTGCGTAAGTAGGTATACAAGTGAACATGCCAAGTGTATTGTGCGCATGAGCACACTTGGATATACAGCAGTTGAGCACTAGTGTGCTGAACTTAACCCAGCCTAGGGTTCCTGATATTGTTCGACATGCAGGCAGGGCGAGTGAAGCCAGCAAGTAGTCTTAGTGCAAGGATTATTTCTTCAGTGTGAACAAAGCATCAACATCCTGTTTGCAAATGCTAACAAAAGTCATAAGCAGGAACAGATGCAAACATGGAGGGAGGGGGGCGGTTCAAATTAGCAGCAATGACAATGAACTAGATAAGGGGGCAAACACTGAGCCACTTACAAACTCTGCACATCCCAGCAAGCCGTTCTTCACAGGAAGAAGACGGAGCAGCAGGAAGGCAGGGTTGTGAGCAATAGATCAGGAGCGGAATGGACAGAAAAGGCTGGATTAAAAGGAGTCTCTGAGCATTTCAAAACTCTGTGCCTAGAAAAATCATGATGCTTTTAAGGCTCGTCATTTTAGCAACACTACAGATTTTATTCAATCAAATATCGAATGTCATATGTGGCACTATGTGGTAGGTTGTGGAGGGGAAAAACTGGAGTGAAGAATGAGCAGGAATATGGTTTGAAAGTAAAACTATAACAACATCATGGTAAAACCCCGTACAACAGCAAAAATATGGACACATACAAACACATATAGCATGGATACGAATGTATTTATTTGTCTTACACACACACACACACACACACACACAAACACACAGTTACTAACCTGAAGTCCTCAGAGCCCAACACCTCAGTGTAGTACATGACTTTGCACTTGTGCGAGGAGACCTGCAGGGTGGCCAGCACGTCGTCCACACGGGGCAGGTTGGTGGCCGAGCAGGCCGGCATGTTGTGGAACTTCCACTGGAGGATGTAGAAACCTGGCCACCGCGTAATATGAGAGCCCTGAGGAGATTGATAGTACAGACAGCGTCAATGAGAAGCAAAAACTACCTATAAAATACAGTTACAGATCAAAATGTTGGCACCATTATGCATCAGTTCACACTGCTTGAACATCACCTGCACACTCTCGCCCTCCTTGCAAGTGAGCGAGGACTCCACCATGCTGTAATCTTGACCCAGCGTCCATGACCTATCGATGAGCTGGACATTGTTGCCTACTGGAGAGGGGATGCCATGGGGTAGCAGGGGGTCTTTACGTGGAGGCTGAGGGGCCCGCTTAGAGTGGAAGATGTTGAAAACCACGTCGCCTTTGCACATGTCAAAGTCCCAGGTGATGACTGAGGAGGCATCGATGATTTCTATCAGAAGCTGGTTGGGGGAGAGAGGGGAGACAGACATGGAGATGGAGAGAGAGAGAGAGAGAGAGAGAGAGAGAAGCACAAGAACTAAAACAAACGTAAAGTTAAAGATGTTACTTCTCTCTTCAGCCCTTATGTTCTCATTTTATTTACATATCTTGTATGTGTGTATCTTTCTTGGTTACAGGAATAATGTCAGAGCATTATGGCTGTGAACCTCACTCTTTATTATTGTCGTTTATAACAGAGGTATATTTATGTTGCTCTACATTTAAGCATCAGCTACATGTGGCAAAATAAAAACACCGTCAAAGAGCAGCAAGAGAAATCTGAACATCTGTTTGCGAAGTTATGAGCTCAGTAATATGAAATTTCTGCTCTGTTAAGCACTTTGTGATTTTCTGTCTGTGAAAAGCGCTCTATAAATAAATTGTATTATATTATTATTATGAAATCAAAACCGTTTTCAGAAGGGTGATTATGTATGATGATGCATCTCTCCCTCTGGTATAAATGATGTAACATGATTAACTGTATGTCACTGCAGACGGATTATGTTTTAAAGCTGTGCCACATTTGATTTCAAAAACTACAAACTACACCGCATACAACCACTAGATGGCAGACACCTTTCATCAGAGACATCAGGCAGCTCTCCGTTGTCATGCCCTATAATAGATGGATGTTAGTGTGAAAATAATATATATATACACATATACAAATACATACATATATACATATACACACACACACACACACCTATCTATTCTTCTCACTTTGGTGCTCTAAGTTGAGCCTCACCTCGTGTGGAGCTCCCTTGAAGATGCTGGCGCTTTGGTAGATAGTATCGGTCCACAGGCGGACCTCTTCGTTCTCCAGCTCCTCGGCCGTGCGGTACATCGACTTGGGAACGAGGCCGCCCTCTGGTACCTCGCACTGCAGAACATGAACAATCAAACACAGAATTGGGTCAACGCCGTAGATCTCAGTGTGGGTGCTGTCGTGTCTCCGAAAGTTCACATTCACAACTAAGTCATATTGTGAAACGACAGGGTAACGATTTAAATCTTCAGCGGACACTCACCATACACTCCCCTGCCAGAAAGTCAGGAATGATCTCCTTGTCTATGTAGTCCAGCAGCCCTCCAGGACCCTGGTAGTCATTGCCTGCATATATGAGGAACTTCTTGCGGGTGTTTTCATCAATGAATGGACTCACCTAAGGACGGAGGCAGACGTGGATATGTTTTATGGGCACACCAAATTAGTTGTATCCTAGTTATTCCATAACAAAAATGAATGAATTTACAGCAAGAGCAAAGCAGGGTGTGTGTGTCTCGTTGTGTTAGTTAACAGGTGTATATATATGAAAATGAGGGTGGCCAACACATTTGAAACACCTTTCAAATCCACATAAACTGGTATTGTGAGGAGACTATTTGAACTAGGAAGTATCCCCCTCTGGTTCTTACCAGTGTCCACAGGACAGGGAAAACTCTGGGGGCTCTCAAGATAAGCAGCCGTCCCAGCGTCTCTGGGTAGTTGGCCTCCACAACCTCGATGATCCTCAGCAGCGCCTTGACCCCTGGGCGCCACAGGTGACGCATGTTCAGCCCCTCCAGATCCACCAGACACGTCCAGCAGCTACAGAAGAGGAAGAGCGAGGATTAAACGCCGCAAACACTCTCTCACACACAACTGGGCCACATCCTCTTTCCAACCACTTAGCACCCGTCACCCTGAGGTGACGCTTAAGTGGTGAAGGCATCACCTGCTAATTCTGGACCCCCCCCCCCCCCCCATCCCCCCCATCCTCCTATCTACGCTGGCTGAGGACTGACGTTCATAGTTCTCTCTCTCTCTCTCTCTCTCTCTCTCTCTCTCTCTCTCTCTCTCAAATTAATCTGCGTTGATCTAGGGTTGCAACTTACAATTATTTTCATTATCGAATATTATATAGATTATTTTATTATGTTGTTGATTAATTGACATGGTGAACTCCATGTTCTCTGTATTTATATACATTTTATTATGCATATATATTATTACTATTATTATTATTATTACTATTATTATTATTATTATTATTATTATTATATACGCTGAGCATATGGCCCTTTATATATTTAAATTTATTTAGCTTAAAAGATTGAAAAAAATGAAAAAATAACCATCACTCATCCCCAAATAACAAAATTCAAAGACATTACAAGTATATGAAACAGAGATTAAACAGAATAAATACATTTGTTTGGCTGGAACTATTTCTGCTTTAGAAAACAGACTTCCACATTTAACTGATAATCAAAATGGCTGCCTATTCATTTCCTGTTCAGCTCTGAAGTACATCCAATATACTGAAGGTTTACCTGATAGGTCGACCAAACACCTTGGTGTTCTCCTCACAGCGCCTCAGACCCTCCTCATTAATAGACAGCACCTGAAATGGCACAACATGACCTCAGTGCACTGTTGAGCAACATTATAAATCAGCAGACTATTTATATATTTACTGTACGGTTTACACCCTGGTGTTAATACACCTGTCAGGATATGCCGGTGTACATTAATTCCCTAACCTGTAATCCAACCACCTGACCTACAAACTTATCGACCTACATTGATACATGTAAGCTTGAAGTGCGTTTTTAAATTGCGTAACATACATGTCTGAGCAGAGACTCTTCTCCGAGAGCGCGGACCAGTCCTTTAGTGTCCATCTGGCCCAACCGCAGCATGTACAAAGGACGACCATCTAGAGGATAAAACAAACATTTGTATCATCTATCACACAAGGCTGCATGTTACATGGAAATGCGTAGTCTGTTCTTCTGTTACTGTGAATACACTGAGAAATGCTTTCATGTTTTGCTTCTGTTGATCTTATACAAATACTTGTGGAAAGATTGAAATGGGAAGATAAACTGTTCACTTGTGTGGGAACATGTGTAATATAAATTAGATTTATATTGTCAACAGTCACCCTCTGTTCTAAACAAGGAATTCCCAGCATGCACCGAAATGAAGAATCTGACTGTGTGTGTGTGTGAGCTATTTGAGTAACTAAGTCGTGGCGACAAATTGGCCTCATGTTTAATTCACTTGCATGGATGAAGGCTGTGGGTTGCCAAGAATGACTTTGGAGCATGTGGTGTGTGTAACTGGAGTCTATAAGAAGCTGGAGAACCGAGATCTTCCTCTAGTTAACAGCGCACATATAGATAACTTCAACATAAATCCTAAGCGTTGTAGCATGTTACTGTCTTCGAGTATGGCTAGATGTGAGCATTTATTCGTTTTTGCCTTAAAGAGATTTTTTGAAGTGGGGTTGAATGAGGTACTTGTGCATAGTCAGTTTATTAGATGACTATCAGCACGCCTCCCTCGAGAAGCAGACAGGAGCTCCGGCAGAGAAGCAAAGCAATGTACTACTGTGGATGGGGCGGCAGCAAAACATATTTTAGACATCTAAAAGTAAGGACCACCTAAACAAAAAACGGGGAACTGAAACCATTATGTCTATCTATGCTCTCTTCAAAGCCAAAAGACTCCCTTGACAAAAACAGTGATTTTACCTGGCAGAACACAGGAGTTGCTGGTCTACCGCTTCCTTAATCAGTTATTTTGTTTAACTTTAACTAATTGAAGCCAGCCACTCTCGTAGTCTGTGAGGTAAAATGCCTGTTTTTGTCAAAAGAGTCTTGTGGCTTTGAGTCTTGGGCCATCTGACAGCAGGGTAAAGCACTGAAAATATTCTAAATATATCACAAACTTATACAGATTTTTTTAAGTGGTCCTTTTTTTAGGTAGCTTAAATAAATGGGGGCGTGCTGATCCCCAACTACTGTGATAATACACTGACTATGGATAAGTACCCTCATGCAACCCCACCTCAAAACATCCAACTACCCCATTAAATGAAATGCACACGGCACCAGGTCCTACCTCTGTCATGGTGGTGCCAACCCCCAGTGTAGTAGTCCTGGAGGACCTGTGGTGAGACCCAGGTCTCCAGCAGGTAGTCCACTTGGTGCTGCTTCCTCCAGGTCAGCGACTGGCAAAGGATTTCCCGTGCCTTGTCCATGTTGAAGTCTCTGGCACGCAAGAAACGCAGTATGTGCTCGTCCTTGGGGATCTGGATAGTAAGGGGAGAGTATTTAGCTGTGCTTGATTTGTGAACCAGTTAGTTAAACACTGCTAACGCCATTGACAATTGGCTAATTTAAATTACACCATTAATATCATAGCAGGTCAGTTAGCCATATTAGCATGTTAAATGTAGCTGGAAGCTGTTGGACTCAAATATCAGATGTCCCTGATAATGATTCAATTTGGAGGTGGGCAGTAAGTCTTTATAGTTCATCAAATCTAAGAATTGCTATTCGGTTTTATTCCATCCTTACAAAAACTGTAAAACACTTACCTTTCCCTTGTGAGTCTCCTGCAGCCATTTGCGAAGTCTGATCAGACAGCTCTCCTGCAGGGGGGTCAGGTCGCCTAGATAACGTTTGATATAGTCTGCATCCAACTTATCTGAAACACAGAAACACCTTAAATTAACATAATTCAGTCAAAGTGTAAATATATACATGGTATACACCTTTAATGGAACCAAAACCCCACAAAACAGTCATTTCTGTGCCAATTCAAACCTATTCAAATGTGACTGTCTTGTATAACTACACAATGAGACCTTGCTTCCATTGCTTTCTACTGTTAACAGTACTACAAATATGTTCCCTATTATACATTAAACATACAAAGAGGCTGCCTCTCTTTTTTTCAATTCCCTGAGGGAACAGACCTTCAGGTGTGCTGGGCAGAATCTCTGCGAGGCTGTCGTCCTGCTTGATGTCCGGACAGGTGATGTCTTTGGCATCAGTGGGCAGCGGGATAGAAACAGCGGGCGTGACCGCCAGTTTGGGGAGGACAGATGGGCTGGTGAAGAGGCTGGTTGGTGTGGGGAAAGACGCGTGAAGGGATGAGGGAGTCCAGCGCGGCACATGGGTGATCCCTTCATCTTGTAGCTCCTTCAGGTAGAACTCTATGATTTCTTTTCCCTGTGAGGAACACCAGTGTAGAAATGAAGTGGGACAACTGTGGCAAAAATAGCAGAAAAGGCTGTGAATTCAAGGGAATTAGATTTATGTGAGCTATTTGGAATACAAACAAACAATATTTTATCTTCATATGTACTTTATTCAAACCAAGAATGACAAAGACTCTGCATTTTCTCCCTGTTTCCATTACTTCAGTTGGAAATACTAAAAGATTATGCAATCAACATTGCCAACATCCCTCCTAAATGAAGGCAGATGACTCACTGGGTCCACAGCAGAAGACACCTGTCCACTCAAAGATATTATGCAAGCTCATTTATGCAATTAAAACAAGAGACAAACTGATTCACTCACGCTCCAGAAACCTCTCAAAACCAAACAGTTCTGCATAATTCATACAGCACCCATTATACAGAACAAAGGCAACACCTACACGTATTGATTAAGTGTAACAACACACACACACACACACACACACACCTTTTTGATACTGGTGGCATACTGCTTCATAGCGATCTTTTCCACAGTGGTCTCAAAGCCGAAGAAGGACTTGATGTCCAGGCTGGCAGTCTGCTCAAAGCAGGTCCAGTCCTCATTCTCTGGGTGAACCTGTACCAACACACACAAACACGTATCGCAGGGGTCAGCAACCTTAGGCACGCAGTAGCTTAACCAATGGCACCCTGGCAGCGGGTGTGCAAGAGAGTTTTTTTGGAGATGTTGAAGTGCCACATTCACAGCCATTGACGAGTACTCGGGAAATGGGCATTTAATTTGATTCCATAGGGGTAAAAAAAAATAAAAAATACAACCAACTGTGATGTGGATGTTTTCATTAGGATGGCAGCCTTCTTGTATAGTGCTCTCATATCATTTACAATGTCATAATTATGGGTGAATAATGTTTTATATTAATGAATAATGTTACTATGCAACATATGGATGGAATCAAATTACAGATCCATTGGAGATTTAAATTTTGATATTGCGTCATAATTAAACTTAATGTCAACCGTAATGTTAACATGACAAACTGTTTAACAAGAACATTTTAAAATGGTACTTTATATCAAAAAGGTAGCCAACTGCTGTAGTGTATATTATAATGTATACACATGCAGGAACAAGATGACCAGGTCACACCCAGCTTCACTAGATGATGACGCACGCAGAGAGACATCTTCACACTGTGCACTATGAGTAGGAGTGTGTGCGTCAGTCGGACCATATAGCATCAGCGTTTACACATGAGCAGTTTGGAGCTTTAAAAAAGACACGCGTGTCTGGTGTGTGGTTGAAAGAATGAATCAGGATTTAGCTGAGCAGTATCAGTAATATAAGCCAATACAAGGCATACAGATTTTCCATCCATCTTTCATCAGATTCTAGCACTGTTTTGGCAGCTCAACAGGGGGTGGTGCTGGAGATGAAACATCTAAAAATATTTTTAATTTTGGTTAGTTCGAGGAGATCCTAATGATCAGTGTCTGGCCCAATCTGGGAGAAAAAAAAAACACAGATTTGCTTTAATTGTAATAAAACTATTATCTTTTCTTTAGTTATAAAGAGCAGTGTGTGATGCATTTATTCATACATTAGTAAATTTAAGCTTATCAACTGCTTAGTTTTCAATCAGGGAATTCAGTATTTGGACCAAGAAGCGCATGAAAAATGTAGAAGGCTACAATTTGTTTCAATGTGTCGTATGTGATACATATTAAATCAACATTTACATAAGACTTGTTGGCGATATTTTAACAAATCATTTAAATCCATTTTAATTCAGGCTACATCAGCGTTGCATTTCAAAAGAAGTCGTGAGTTTAATGCTTTCTGAAGGCCCTATGCTGGTAGCTTTATTACTCTTGGCTACCAAAATATTTCAGCTTTAGCTAGGTCCATTAGCTCAGTCTAATTGACCTGTCCATCCCGGTTAATGTTAGCACAGTGTGCTAAAGCACACAGTAAGAACCTCTGTGCAGCCTTGGACCTAAAATTAGCACTATAGTTGCTTTGAGGCTAATACGATGTGCTGGACCTCATTAACTCAGAGCACATCCATTCATGAATAGGCAGATCTGAAGTCAGAGTGAAGCTTTGAGCATACAGAAGTGGAGCCGGGAGAAACCAAAAAAAGACATGCTGGTTTCAGATCAGTACTTGAGAGCATTCAGCAAGATTGTGAGTGGACTGAATAATAAGAGAGATAGCTAGCAACATGCTTAGAGCACGTCTACACATGGCCTTCTGTGCAGGGAAGCAATGCAGAGATTAGAAGAGATATTAACATGGCTGTACTGGCGGCAGCTTGCTATTTAGCAGCTTACCAACAGCTTTACAGAACGTGCGTGTGTGTGTGTGTGTGTGTGCGCGTTTGTTTGTGAATATAGTTGTGCGGTTCTGTAAAACTCAATGGCTTGAGCATGTCACAAAAACTGCTCTCTCCAGGGCCATCGGCACTACGTTTGTGTGTGGACAACAGTCTGCACTCAGCATCACGAGGGTGTGAATGCTACTGACCGAGTAGCAGCAGGTCTCACTGATTATCACCCTGTTGGAGAAGGTCTCATTGTGGGAGTCGATGTGAAGTGTCCTCTCCTTTCGGTTCAGTATGTTTTTCTGGATGAAGTAGACGTAGTCCACACCTGCTATCTGCAAACCACACACACAACAACTCATGTGACAAGAGATTAAACTGACACGAGAGACCGATATAAGGTTGAATCTTTATATACTACTGTATGTACGTAGAGCTAAAAATGAACACAAGCAACATCATTACATTGGTTGTATAAAAAAGAAACAATACTTTGGGGCAGGGATAAGGAGTTGGTAAAGATCCCAATAACCACAAAGCATTGTACTTAAGATGCAATTTAGCTGACAACCTGATGTGCAACATACCCTTTTGAGCAGGCGCGGGGCGTCAACATCCAGAGCACAGCGGCGCTCCACCCTGGTGGTGGAACCGTCCTCATTGGTCTCTTCTTCCACCACATCACTCGCCACAAACATGGGGATGAGATGACAGGTCGGGAACCGGCGCTCATAGGCCTGAACACAAGGAAGGAGGAACAGAACTGTTAGCTTATACAGTGGCTCGCAATCTGGAAACATATCTGTTAGGTATGAAGTTTCATTCCGAGTAGGAAGAAAACAAAAGAGGTCTCAATAACTCGTGTCTACGTGCTGTGCAGTCGGCAATCAATCACAATCCGACGGCTGCGCTTTGAGAACACACAAGACACAACCGATTACAATCTGTTTTTGCAGAGCGTCACAGTAGTAGAGATGGACCGAATGCAATTATTTTCGCCAATTCAAAAAATTGTCAAAAAATTGAACTCTTTTTACTCTGTTATTGTCATCGATAGTAGTTATTTGCATAACAATGTACATTATTAAGCTGCTTAGACAAGTGTTAGGATATCATAATTCCATCTCTCATATCGATTTTATATTTCTGTGAAAACATTTGAACATATTATGGCAGCTTTTGCGGGGAGTTTAGTTTTTAAGCCACTTCCTAAACATGTTATTCTTGTGTCGGGCCTTGAGACAGTGTGTCGTCTTAAAAACATACCACACAGCTACAGGTTTTGTACTGACAGCATATATAAAATAAATAAGAAAAAAAGTTCAGGTATTTCATAAGAATGCAAGTATTGAGAGAAGAGAGACTGAGGAATCTGAATAAGAGGCCAAAGAAAAGCTCCTTCATCTTAGTATCGTTCCAAACTTCTCACTCGAGCTGAGCCTCAGCAGAGAACGGCCCAGACGCCACTAAAGCACTTTTTACAAAAGCACCTTAACAAAAATAAAAAGGCTCAATACACAATGGAAGCTGCTGTGCCCAAGGCTCACACCGTGTCTCTAAAATATGTCTTCTCACTATTGCAAAAACAAACAAACTCAGCTCTTGTGCAGAGGCTAGTCAGCTTTTATCCCATGAATATATCATTTGAAATGAGCCATTCTGCTTAACGAGTACACTTTTACATTTGGTACTTCAAGAATATTTTGCACCAATACTTTTGTACTGTTAATCAGGCTCAGGACACATTTTTAATGCAGGACTTTTACTTGTAACAGAGCATTTTTACACTGTGTTCTAGTAAAAAATTTAAACATAAATGCATTGGTAGTGTAGCAATGAATAGTGATGACACTGCAAAAAGTCACATTCACAAAGCACAGCAAAAAAGACTGGGTCCGTGTTCTATGACGGTTTGCTGACATCACTGTGGACTGTTTACGTATTTCTGAAGTGATACCAATATTCTGTGTCTTCTTGGTTAATGCCTAGAACCTAACTAGGTTTCCCCGTTTTTCTGTCATATTTCTCAGAAAACGGGAAATAATTTGGATGTATATTAAACCCAAGTCCATTGGGTTCAGCAGCTCCTGGCATGCCACTACCGGGGCTACCGAGCCACTACTGGGCGGGGCTACCGAGCCACTACCGAGGCGACTGAGCCACTACCAGCTGCCAACTGTCCATTGACGGAATGCTGAGCTCTGTTTTTCAGCCCGTGATGCTCTGGAACAACTGGGTGCAGGCTTTGTACTGCCGTCAGCAAACCAGCACTGACCGTAATCATCAGTTTCACCTCTGAAAAACAACCGTATATAAACAACAATCTCAACCACGAATGCCATGTGCAGTCAAAACAATAGACGTACAAAAACATACGCTTCACTTTACATGGGACAATGAGCCTCCCCAAGCTCAACTTTCAGCTGCCCCCATGTGCACTGAAAACCCAGAAACAGGAAACAGGAAGGTCATGATACCAGCTTATTCCTCAAAAAGGAAACGTAAGGGCATGCTGCTCAGCTACACCAAAAAAAGACTCAATCTGGTCACATCTGACTTAATTTTGTACTGTACACATCCGGGACTAATAATGACAGTGAACTGCTACAGTTGAATAGTAATACCTACTAACAAACTTACACTAGACCGTCCAACAATACTTGTCACATCAATCTCATGTGAATCAAACCACGTCTAATTCATTTCTTAGCCCTTTGACTTGTTCTACAAGGTAAGTTTGGGATACGGAGCTGCATTGATGACACATCAACATAACGGTCCATGGTGACAGGGTATGTTCAGATACAACATGAGTGGCCAAGCCATGAGTAAATAGTTTCTGGAATTTGTCTGGAGATTTGATGTGATTTCCAGCGGTGCATGAGAGAATATACAACAAACGATACACAGTCATTTGATCCCTTCCTGCAAACACAGAGAACATTCTCCCTTTAGACTACAGACAATGTGGATAAGGGCATGAGTTTGGAAAACACCACCTATGTTTCTCAGGGAGGGAGATTCAGGAAATCCAGGAGTTCCGAGAGGAAACATGAAACAGAAGGACTGCATGTAAATGTGCATAACGTACTACCAGGCAGGAAAACAAAAGTGCTGGCGGGCAGCCCAGTTATTATCTGGCTTGAGCTTATGGCATTAAAAAAAAAAAAAAACTTAAATATAGCTGCAAGCATGGTCCAAACAAAAACAGGAAAAAGAGCTCACTGGGTCATACACTACCATGTTTCTTTTTTTTAAATAACATTTTAAGTTGAGTGATACCTCTATAGTAACCTTTACAAATTAAGTACAGCTGAAAATGTTAAGTCGATTAATTGATTAGTTGACTAAGAGAGAATTAATCTGAAACTAAATTGATAATCAATTAATTGTTTAAAACATTCTTTCTACAAGAAATGCCAAACAGTCTCTAGTTCCAGCTCCTCAAATGTGTGGATTTGCTGCTTTTCTCTGCATAGTGAATATCTTTGGGATTGGGATTTAATCGTCACATCATTTGACAGTGAAAATAATTATAGTCAATGTACTTCATTAAATTGACGCAAAATCCTTATAAAACTCCAACCTTGCCATAAAACAGTTGTCTTTATTAGTTTGTAACATTGCCTACCAAGATCCTGTACACTTAGAGATCTCCAAAGACATCAAGAGGAAAGATAAACAATACGACAAACTAATCTATATTGTCTCAATTAGATAAACTACTTTAATAACGTTCATCAAACAACAAAAATATGCAGGTATGACTTTACACTAGGAGGGCAAGTACTGTAGATGACCTGGTTTTGCTTTTATGGGTTGTATCAAGTAGCAGTCTCAATCTATTTGTCGACTATAGCGTTTGTGAAGAAACAGGTTCTAGTAACAATGGTGCCGAGTCATATTGTCTCCTCTCCCCTAAACTCTGTTTCACCGGGGGCGGAGCTTACACACGCTCCTTGTAAGACGACATTCATGCATTTCTAGTCGCCTCTCTCTAATAATGTTATATCGTAAACAACCAATCCATGCTTAAATTGGCAGGACGGGGGCAGCGTCGCCAACGGCTAACAAACGATGGTTCCATTGGGCTACATTATGATGTTCAGTGAAAATGAGTATTGGGCGAAGGTAAATAACGTATCACGAGGTGTTCACATATAAATATAGTGTTGAATGAATACAGTTGTTTCTGGAGAAGTGGAGATGTTTTCACAGCAACATAAATAGATATTAGAGAGGGATATATGACCCGTTTACACTAAGCACCAAGCAGCTTATAATGCATCATTCAAACTACTAATGAACAGAATTGTTTTAATTAGTGGTGTAGCGGATCGTACGGATCGGACGGATCACCCCTCACGGCTCGGCACACATGTGAACAACGGATTAATTTCACAGTTTAACGTTAACCATCACAGTGTGAAATAAAGTTTCACTGACGATCTTCAGAGTGGTTGAAATGGTTTTTTGGACAGTGGCAAAAAAGCCTGGAGCCTTGTAGCTCTAATCGAACAACAATGGGAACTGTATCTGCCAATATGGATCATCAATGTTCAGCAATTAGTATTGGCGGCAAAAATACGTGATCGGGGATCTCTAAAAGTTATATTTGCTCCCTTTGTTCTTTTGTGCCGATACGATCCGAACCGTGAGTTTTATGATCTGTAGCACCAATGAAATATAGAGGTTACAAGGTTTTCAAAGCAGCGACGATTTACTTCATAAATATTCAGCATTCTTTCACTGCACATTGAGACATTGGAGGTGGCGTGACAGGTAACACAGGACTGTGGTTAGAGAATGGAGGTGGTGCGAGTCTGCCAATGTATTGCAATAAGGTCACCACAAAATAGTTGTACTGGATTGGACGAAATAAAGAAAACACCCTTCCCCCGAAGGCAAAGCTGTTGTAACACAACAACTCTGATGCAATGTTTCTATCAATTTACAGCTGCTCCCAAGAGGAAGCTGCAGAAGACATGAACTGACTTGATGTGAAATGTTCTGTTGTATCACGTTCATACAGCCTTCATCGCATGAACTTCATGCTGCATAATCTGTCGCTGCCAGACTACAGAAAACATTTTATTCCACTTCTTCAGTGTGTTGCATCATAGGTTTATGCCATTTGCTTATATACGCAAGTGAGGTGAGGGCCAAAGGTCTCCTGGGACCAACACTGACTGGAGAAAACTTCCAACTTCCTCGGTAGCAGCGTCACTTCTCTGGAGCTTATGAAAACGGTTGTGTAATAGAGACAGCAGCCGCCCAGAGGTCAGCCTCTGCTGTTTTATATCAGCTTGCTTTTCTGGTGGCTGGCAAAATGGGAACACTGTGGTTTAGGAGCACTTTTAAGATGAAGGTACTTGATGAGGACTGCTTAGAGATGATGTCAAAACATAAGCTGAGATGCAGCAGACGATCTGGCTGCATTCCTTAAGTATTCAGAGGAAAGTTACAAGACAAACAGTGACTAACTACAGAGTCATATAAACTCTTTCAAGGGAATTGCATTGCTCGGCAGCAGCTTACATCCATGTTTACTTCCTGTCAGCCAATGTCATTCCCTTACACAACAACAACAGGGAATATACAAAGGAAGTAAGGGTCATTACGTCACTGAACTCAAGTTGGTGCCAAACTGCTAGTATTCTACATGCATTTAATGTACAATTAAACATATCATTGTAATCAATTACTAACCAACCATGAAATTGTTTATTAACCTTTA